TTTATTTTTCTTAATTCGTGACTATGTTGCTGCTCGCTCGCTACGCTCTCTTCGCAGCAAATAGTGCTAGAACAAATAACAATATGCACAAAATACTTACCCAAAACTTCCAGAATTGCTGAATCAGAGAATTCCGCGCCGAAAATGCTCACAGCTCTACAGCGGTAACTCCCATTTAACCCACGCGCATCGAAGATTTCAAGAGTTTTGTCATAACTGAAGAAGTCTTTATCGATGATGTTATTGTCTTTAAACCTGAGTGAAAATTAGCATATTAATTTCAACGAGGTAGATGGTAAGACTCACTATAGACAGCTTCTCAATTCTTTCCATGAGCTCTTACCAGATAAGTAACTCATGAAGCAACTAAGGGAGGAACAGATACCTCTTTACGGAACTCAACTGCATCTCGGACAAAAGGACTTACCCAATATCCTGGCATTTCGACCTCACGCTTGATCAATAATACTTATTTATTATCTTTTAACATACCATTACCCTGTGCTAAACGCTTAGAGTTGTGCTGTACAGTCCACTCTCGTGCAAACTCGTGGAAACCCATAAAACAACTACCTGACAATTTGGTTAGCTTAGGGCCTACAGAGACTAGATCCGGCTCAAGAAAGTTAAGGCCTGATTTCAAGACTTTAAATGAAAAAAGTGAGGGGGAAGTCTAATTTTTTAAGCATTTTAGAAAACGCCTTATTACCCTGGGATATCATTCTGAGCAAGAAGTTTGGCAACCTAAAATGTTTTCTGGTATGTCATATTGTCACGTAACCTGTTAGAGCTATTTTTAGCTCAAATTTCTTTTTAGCAAAACGGCACCACTTTTTGCTGTATCTAGAAAGCTGACGTTAGCTTTTTAACGTTAAGAATATCAGGTACTTCTTTCCGTGCCCGGACTTGTTGAGATTTTTGAAAAGAATAGTATAAAATAAGTATAAAATGTTTAAGCAAGCAACCGGAACGATGATCCTGCTGGTATACGTTGGATCAACAGTGATCTAAT